CCTACAGAATACACGGTTACAGATGTCATCCTACCCAATACACGGTTACAGATGTCATCCTACCAGAATACACGGTTTTCACTTATAAATTCACATTTTTCTGATGTGAATATGTATAAAGGTTTCACACTTAGGGGTTGTCTACTAGTGATAAAATAATATAAATTTCACAATTGGGGGTTGTCTACTAGTTATAAAAGAACATACTTTCCACACTTGGACTTGTCTATTAGTTACGAAAGAATGTAGGTTCCATAATTAGGGTTGTCTACTAGTTATAAAAGAACAAATTTCTGGTAAATAGTGAATCAGAACAATTCAACATTATCACTTTTCTTGAACTTGTTCCAACGTTTTATTAAGCACACTTGCATAATTGTTACAGGGGAAGAGAATCCCTTTTAGGAAAAGTTAAAAAAAAAGTCAAGCATATTTTCTTTGTAAGTGCGATCCAGAATGTACAGTTATCATATGTGTAGTTTATTCCATAACATAAAATACTGTAACTGTTGTCAAGTTAGGTTTAGGTAGTGCAATTCTCATGTTAATTGTGTTTTATGGGCTTTTCCTGCTTAAGTTTGGACTTATGAGAAACTGTTGCCTGGTCCATAAAGCATAATTTCAACACCAAATCGTTAACTAAGCTCCTAAACCTGGTACATGTTGTTTAAGATTTTAAAAGTTAAAGAAAACACCAAGACAATGTTCAGTTCCTGTACAGGTTTAAATAATGTGCAGGGAGATTAATCATTAAGCTCATAATACAATATTCTCATGAGTTTGTATATTTTAACATAAACTAACCCAACAGGCTATTTGCTCTGTTCACCATCTGGTACTGAACCCGTATTTTAGCATTTTAAGATCGTAAATTTACTGCTGACCCAAAGGTGAACTAAACATTAGCAGAGGGTTAAAGTGTGAGTGTTCATTTCAACAAAAAGCCACACAATGAGATACCTTTCACCACTGGGAATTGAATCCCTGAATTTTAGTGCTACAAGTCTATAAACTTTCTGCTAACACACATCGAGGGACCTCAAAAGAGACTTTTACAGTGGAAATAGTGGTAGAGAGTAATAATCAGAAATGCTAATTTCAATTATTTGATATTTTTGTGACACTAATTGGTGCTAATAGGTAATTAATTAAAAATATTAATCACCCAGCTCATTTTATTATAAGTATTATTGTAACATGTTACATAAGTTTTATTTCATTTTTGCATACGATGATCTTTATTCACATATGTACGTATGAAATTATAAACAGCGTAACGATAGAGGTCAGATAATACACAAACTAAAGACACCACAATGTTTCTCATACTAGTGAGTTCCTTCAAACATAAACATAATGAAACTGTATACAAGAATTCCAAGATGTGTTGAAGTCCAATAATGAGAAGTATCACAAACATTGTTTATTCACTTCATATATATAATGACTTAGAGCTCCACTTGTTCTGGTAGAGAAGAAAGTAATTTACAACACTAAAACTAATGAAGGTAAAAAATATGAACACAAAAATTATATCTGAAGTCATGGAAAATACACAACAGTATTACAGAAGTCATGAACTGCATATAAGTTATATACTGTAGTATGACAGGAGTCATGAACTGCATATAAGTTATATACTGTAGTATGACAGGAGTCATGAACTGCATATAAGTTATATACTGTAGTATGACAGAAGTCATGAGCTGCATATAAGCTATATACTGTAGTATGACAGAAGTTATGAACTGCATATAAGTTATATACTGTAGTATGACAGAAGTCAAGGCCTGTATATAAGTTATATACTGTAGTATGACAGAAGTCAAGGCCTGTATATAAGTTACATACTGTAGTATTACAGATGTCAAGGCCTGTATATAAGTTATATACTGTAGTATTACAGATGTCAAGGCCTGTATATAAGTTACATACTGTAGTATTATAGAAGTCAAGGCCTGTATATAAGTTATATACTGCAGTATTACAGATGTCAAGGCATGTATATAAGCTATATACTACAGTATTACAGATGTCAAGGCCTGTACATAAGAGTTATGTTTTCAATTAATAATAAATTCTATGAATTTATTTGAAGCAGTATCATTATTATATACACTGCTGGGAGACCATGGTTAGGTATGCCATACCTAAAGATAAATTAGAGGCGGGTAAAACAACTTTACAGCAGTCAGCAAGAGATGTTTGTCAGAAAATATATTCATCAGCATATTCCTAATTGAGATCCACACATGGAAGTTATGTCGTATGTATGAATGATGTCACCTACCACAAGCAGCATTTTAGTTAGGCTTACTGTTAAACAATAAAACTAGTTTTTTTTTGTTCTTATGTTTAGAGACATGAGAAGTATAAAGGAATGAAGGGAAAATCGTTATATTTCACAGTGTTAATTCAGCAATAACAAGGTTTTTGGAGCTGAGGAAAAAGCCAAACACATCTTGGCATAAAACAAATTAATTGTCCTTATGATATTAAAAAATAAGTTTTCTCCTGTTGTATACAAAAAGAAACAACTTTACATAGATATAGAAACAGAATATCTGTATAGATATGTACAACAAAAATCTTCCTGGAATTAAATACTGCAATCATAACACAGAATTAAAAAATTGCATTTTGTAAAGGTTTTAAATAAAAATTCACAAATTTAAAACTGGATCTTGATAATCCTAATTTCAAATTTCCAAGTTAATTTTTACAAACTTGACAAAAAAACCCAATAAACAATACTCATCTTAAAATTAACAAAAAATGTAAATCAAAGATTTTGTACTCGGATCTCACTCTTTAAAATGTTAAGAGATAAAAAAATGTAAAATCTAATTTTAAAACTTTTAATTATTGTTTTCTAAACTTGCTGGTGTTGTTACTGCAATAGGTTCTATCCTTTCTGAAGTATTAACAATCCCAAGTGATTGAGTTTCTGTGCACTCTGCTGTTCCTAAGTTAGCCATTCGAACATGTAAACCTGGGTGTGATGCCTGACCATCGGTCAGATTAGACATGCTAGAGACAACTGTTCGGTACATAGACACAGGAATGGTAACAACACCAGACACTGGAAATGCTGTAGAAATATAAGGATAGACTATGATAAAGAATATAAAAGCATAATATGAATGAAAGAGAAGTATTAATTAAAAGTAGATTATACTGTTTAAATATTCACGAAAAATTAATTTTATATTTTTGATTACTTATTCCTATATGACATAATCTTATTGCTGACTAGATGTTCTAAACTTGTAATATATAATTTTAAGGATTACAACAATTGAACCCATATTATCTTCTCATCATCAGGTAAGGGTTAGATTTTTTCTTTTTCTGAATGTAACTCTTACTTGGTGATGACCCATGATGACCCAGTACTGGGGTCATAATCATTACAAGCACAACTTAACTACTGCAAAATTTACTATTATTGTAATTCAGTTGAGAATGTTTGTCGCTAAACATTAAAACAAACTTGCTTTCCACCATCAAATTAAAACAGGTAGACTGTCCAATTGTAATCTAAACCCACCATCAAATTAAAACAGGTAGAATGTCCAGTTGTAATCTAAACCCACCATCAAATTAAAACAGGTAGAATGTCCAGTTGTAATCTAAACCCACAATCAAATTAAAACAGGTAGAATGTCCAGTTGTAATCTAAACCCACCATCAAATTAAAACAGGTAGAATGTCCAGTTGTAATCTAAACCCACCATCAAATTAAAACAGGTAGACTGTCCAATTGTAATCTAAACCCACCATCAAATTAAAACAGGTAGAATGTCCAGTTGTAATCTAAACATCATATTAAAACAGGTAGACTGTCCAGTTGTAATCTAAACATCATATTAAAACAGGTAGACTGTCCAGTTGTAATCTAAACATCATATTAAAACAGGTAGAATGTCCAGTTGTAATCTAAACCCACCATCAAATTAAAACAGGTAGAATGTCCAAATGTAATCTAAACCCACCATCAAATTAAAACAGGCAGAATGTCCAGTTGTAATCTAAACCCACCATCAAATTAAAACAGGTAGAATGCCCAAATATAATCTAAACATTGTTTGTGTTATTTTTTTAAATTTGTACTCCTCCTCAGTGTTCATAAGTGCTAACGAAACAGAGTCCAATAAAACTCACCACTTTGAGTGCCGTCTTCGCCAGTAAAAATAATCTGGCCATCTTGGTTCAGTGTTGCTTCAGTTAACGTTGCTAGCATATCACCATGAAGACTGACATTAAGCGGTAAGAAATGCTGATTACTCTGATTAGTCACTTCGGGATGTGATGCTGCTGTAATCTCCGTTAAGGACTGAACATTCTGGTTCTCTTCAGATGAGGAACCCTGAATCTGTAATTCAGTGTAAAAGTAACGTATACAGTTCACAGTGTATTATACTCAAAATATCACAGGGCACTCATAGTCTGTATATACTGGAAAAACAACAGGACTGATAACTAACTGTTAACTGTACGAGACCATATATAAAAATGTTAAAATAATAGGATGTGAACAACACAAGAGCTGAGAAAGAAAGTTTTTTTACAAGTATTTAACCCGGCACGATTTTTAAATTCCTTTCTGTGTATGTTACTGTGTTACATTAAACATTTAATTAAA